ATACGCCGACGGTTCCCAGGCTCCGTACTCAGACCCAAGCTCATGGCGAGACAGGCACCCATCCCTCCCCCGTTTCGCGCTCCCCATCGCCCTGCTCGTCGGCTGCGCCATCACGGGCGGGACGACTTACGCGCTGGTCGCTTGGGTCCTGAACCTGATCGCCAACGCATCCGTCGACTCGGACGCAGGCAAGTGGAAGGCCGCCGCGCGAACTGAGGTCTACGACGCGTGCTATTTCGGTTGCAACGACTGCGACGACCCAAGCTACGCCTTCAACGCGTGCCAGAGGACCGCGGCAGTTAGCGTGAAGTCTGCAGTCATTTGCGACGGCACTCGCATGTGGAACTGGGCCGAGGCCGATCGGTACCCTGACGCGTGTCTGGAGACGGTCGGCAAGGTGCTCATGGGCGACGCGCTTGAGGCGCTCAAGAAGTCGTACCGCAACCGGCTGGCGATCATCATACTGACTGTCCTGGCGGGTGTTGTGGGGGGCGCAGTCACGTTCTTTGTCTGGCGACGCTATTCCATGTCGAAGGCGGCAAGGGAGGCCAGGAAGGCAGGGAGAGACGAGAACGGGCCGCCGAGGCGCGCGCGCACCTGGTGGCCGAATACATGGCGCAAGGAGCAGAAACCGCCGCATCACGCGTCTGCTTTTGGCGGAGGTGGTGATACAGTGCATAACACAGACTCCCGAAGGTCATCATCTTCCTCTTCCTCCTCCCACTCAAGCACACGCGGCAGCCGCGGCGGCGGAGGAAACGGAAACGGACTCCGGTTGTTCGCCGCCCTGGTCGGCCTGTTCTCCTCATCCAAGACGCACGCATCCGCCTACCCCTGCACCGGCCACGGCGACATGCCATGGAACCAGTTCTTCACCGCGACCTTACCAGCCAGCAACAGCTCCTCCACAGGTTTGACCATCTCGGGCGTCGTGCACGGCTGGATCAGCAACTGCTACGACCGCGACGACTGTCATCAGGTGTGCTCGACGTCGTGCAGCACCGACTCGTCAACCGGAAAGCAGACGTGTTCCAATAAGTGCAAGAACAATTGCGTCCGGCGGACGTATACTGACCGCAGCCCGCGGGACTATGTCGAAGTGGTTGTACCGAGAGTAAAAGCGTGCGGGTTCAGGGTCGTGGATGCCTTGATCGACATGCCTGGCGGTGAATTGACGCGAGTGGGTAATCCGCTGATCGAAAAGGATTACTGGGTTAGGATATCGGTCGCGCCGGGGTTTAATGTTTCGCGGGCGGACGAGACGGACGAGATGGTTTGGTGTTTGCATGGGATTGGAGGGAGCTAAATGAGAAGAGGAGGGAGGAGGGAAGGCTTTGGATTTTGAGGGTGCTGAATTAGTGCTGGAGTTTTCGGGGAATACCTTATTCTATGGAGCGTCGTTTCTCAATGTGATCTTTGTAATAGTTTTAGTTATACAACATGCAAGCACGCTCCGAGTTTGCCTTGAGAATGTTCAGAATTTGTTGTCCATTTTGCCACATTCGCTTCTCGGGTTGGCCTGTACTATATCTTGAGTGATCTTTACACATAGTGTTAACAATTCAAACTCCTTGTGGTGTAGTTGGCTATCACGTTCGGCTGTAATTGTCTGATCATAACCGAAAGGTCACCGGCTCGATTCCGGTCGAGGAGACATTTTTTTTTTTCCTTTTCATTTCCCTTTTTATCTTTACTCCACCTCTCCCTCTATCTTCTCGTGTTCGTTTCTGTCATAAAAAATCTTAATGCATTTTATTTCGTCTTCTATCCTGTTCGCTCACCTGTCGTCCAGCTCGATCAATTACGTAAGCCCATAACCAGCTCCAAATGACCTGAACTTCGAATGGAGACAATGATTGCGGCTACCACTTCCGTACATTATAGAAACAGACTACACGCATCAAGAAGGTCATTACTCCAACTCAACTGTCTGCCTCACCACTCGATAGATTCCACACAACGATCATAACGTCAAGTTACCTCCCTCTCTTGGCTGGCCAGGCTAAACCCAATCGGGAAGGTGTCTTTAAATGACACACACTCCTCACACAGATACCGCCACTGATTAGAGAAATATGTCTCTGCACGCCAAAGAACACTCGGGTACACCGGCAAGATGAGGAGGTAGGTTGAGACAAGCAAAGGAAACGGTCATTAGTCCCTCGGCACGAAAAGCTTGACCCGATACTAATGTCCGTTGTGGCCAGTGATATGCAGCCACAGGGGAACGGTAATCGTTGTCGGCACGACTTACCTTCCTGATTCTTTCCTGACTGAACAAGATATGCGGGGTTGATTTGTTTCCCCTGAGCACAAGCAGAGAACAGAAGGAAACCCAGGCACTGCGTTGGGTCCGTTGCGAGCCATATCCCGAGTCTCAATGCTGTGCTTTCTTGGAAGTCGGAAGAATATGTCTGTTTGTTTTGGCCGTGCGGGGACCTGCCTCGGGAAACGGGTCACCGAGAAGTACCCAATCACAAAGGATCGGACTGGCTACCTGCCCGGAACTTGAGCTCAAGGCGACGGCGGGCTGCAGTTTTCCATCTTTTCTTGAATGGCAGTCCATCTTCTTGACGTGGCGATCCTTCCCCATCCGAGCACCCACTCCCGTTCATGAGCTAGGCCAGGGCCGGGTTCCGGGTCGCATCTATAGGCCGTCCCGATGCGACAGAAACATTTGGAGCTTCCCATTCCGACAACCAGCTCCTCTCTCTCATCCCGGCCTGCAGCCATGATTGCTACTCAAACCAGAAAGTAGTTTCTAGAGATCCATGGGATCGGGATGTATATAATAGCCAAGATGCAACGCGCCCACCCACCCGTTCACGTCTCTGTTCTGCCACCCTCACTCCCCTTGGCCATCCGACAGAATGAGGTTGCCGACCCTTGTCACCTTCGCGGTAGCAGCCCTCGCCAGCACGGCGTCGGCGGCCTTCCTCCACCGCGGTAGCGGGATGGAAGTCGGACCCATCGACCCGACGACCGAGACGCTCAACAAGCGCGCCGAGACGGCCGGCTTCAACGGCTGGGGCACCTTCGACCAGCTCATCGACCACGACAACCCGAAGCTGGGCACCTTCAAGCAGCGCTACTGGTACGGCACCGAGTTCTGGAAAGGTCCAGGTTCGCCCATCTTCCTCGTCAACCCGGGCGAGCAGGCCGCCACCAACTTCAACAAAACCTACACCACCAGCCAGCGTCTGGCGGGTTTGTTTGCCCAGACCATGGGCGGCGCCGTCGTCATCGTCGAGCACCGCTACTGGGGCGAGTCGTCGCCGTACTCGGTGCTGACCGTCCAGAACTTGACCTACCTGACGCTCGAGAACTCGATCCGCGACATGACCTACTTTGCGCGCAATTTCGTCCCGCCGTTCGACACGACCGGCAAGAGCGCGCCGACCGAGGCGCCGTGGGTGTTTTCGGGCGGCTCGTACTCGGGTGCTCTGGCCGCGTGGGTGGAGACCATCGACCCGGGCACCCTCTGGGCCTACCACGGCACCAGCGGCGTCGTCGAGGCCGTCGGCGATTTCTGGCAGTATTTCGTGCCTGTTCAGGAGGCCACGCCGGCCAACTGCAGCAGAGACCTGTCGTCAGTGATCGACTACATCGACGCGACGTTGGTGTTTGGCACCCCCAAGGCTAAGCGCCAGCTCAAGGACAAGTTTATGCTGGGGGATTTGACGGATGCCGATTTTGCTTCGTAAGTTCCCTCTTCCGCTTATCCAAATCTCTCGCACGAACTGACAGACCATAGCGCACTCGAGAACGGACCGTGGATGTGGCAGTCGACGCAGTTCTACTCGGAAAAGACCCTCGGCTACAACCTGTACTATCAGTTCTGCGACTACATCGAGAACGTCTTTCCCAACACGACCAACCCCAAGATCCCCAGTGCAAAGGGGGTGGGCGTCGCTAAGGCCCTGGACGGCTACGCCAAATGGGTCAAGGAGGTTTTGATTCCCGGCAACTGCGAATCAGCCGGCTACTCAGACTGGCAAGGCGAGTTCAACACACAATGCTTCCGCAACCAAAACACCTCCAACGTGGCCTTTAACGATCTCTCGGTGGGCAACTGGGTAAACCGCCAATGGAACTGGATGCTCTGCAACGAGCCGTAAGTTTCTCTCTCCGCCCCACCCCCCCACCCCCCCTACTAACTTCCGGTAATAGCTTCGAATACTGGCAGGACGGCGCTCCCTTGGGACGCCCCTCAATCGTCTCCCGCCTAGTAACAGCCGACTACTGGCGCCAGCAATGCGCCTCCTTCTTCCCCCCCTCCCAAGGCGGAACCTACGGAATTAAGCAGGGCAAGCGCGCAAGAGACGTCAACAAGTGGACCGGGGGTTGGTACGCGACTAACTCAACTCGGCTGATGCACGCCAACGGCCAGCTCGATCCCTGGCGCGACGCCACCGTGTCGTCTGTCTTCCGGCCAGGCGGACCGCTCAAATCTACGGAAAAGGTCCCTGTTCGTGTTATAAAAGGTGGCACGCACTGTTCTGATCTTTATGGGCAGAACTGGCCTCTCAATGCAGATGTCAGACGGGTCGTGGACGAGGAAGTCGAGAATATGAAGACTTGGGTTGGGGAGTTTTATACTATCAACAAAAAGACGAGGCCGTCTTAGGAGGTTAACGGTTAAGGCGTAGCGTTGTATATATTATTATTATTATTCATACGCCGCTATGCGCTTAGGTGTGTCGGACCCTCAAATTATTTACTGTTAGCGTTGTATATAGATAGGTACAAAATGACTAAGTGGTAATCAATCGTATAATAAAAGAGATGTTATAAAGCTTCCCAAACCTTACAAATGATATTCCCAGGATAAAGACAGAGAATTAAGGGCTTTTTTTTTTAAAAAAAAAAAAAAAAAAGGGGGGGGGGGTGTCCCGTTCGTTGAATTGTTTGTATACAAAAACCTGTGAATCCCCTCTGCGGCATGCCGCCCGAAATCGAGATATTGGTTCGGGGAAAAAGAATTTTAAAAAATAAGATCACGATCAGGATGGGACTCGAACCCACAACCTCAGTCTTGGTGATTTCTCCCTTTTATAGGAGGACCACACGCTACCATTGCGCCACCTAACCGGACATTGATATTGGCTGACTCGAGAGTTTCTCCTTTTGTTGTGGAAGTGGAATGCTTGATTCATGACAGGTCCACAACTGGCTGGCTTGGCAGGTGATGGACCCCGCGCTCACCCAACGAAATTCTGCCTGGATAATTGAGCCAGCTTTATCCACCGCAAAGTTAGAAGAAAAAATACATTTGAAAATATAAAAACCTACCTATCCATTTATAAAATTGTATGTGAAATTTGATAGTGATTGAGGAATGTACTGCGGAGTTGTTGTATTGCAAGGTTAATGATGTTGTCGGCGTGGTACGGATCTGTGCCATTTATTTTGTCCATCACCTCGGGCTGCTTGGCAAACTCTCAGTACGTTAGTCATGGAGTACCAGGTCCCAGGCAGTTATCATGTGCCTGTTGCGCAGGTAACGCCTTGATATCCCAATCTTTTTCATATTGCAGCGCTGACAGAAGAACTAGTTTGTGGTGGGAAGACTCGGAGTCTCAATACATTCATCAAACAGACCACTAAGATGAGTACATATCCTTCAAAGCCCCAATTTTCTTTTCCTAAACAGACTCCACGGACCATCATAGATGAACCTGGAGAAGGATTTGCTTATCCAAACACCAAAGAACGCCAAATATCCAAAACCCCAAGAAGAATATCCGCAAGAAAAAAGCATCAAGGGTATGACAACCTGAATCACAGACCACAAGAACTCCACACTTGGCAGATACTCATACACGTGCTTCCGTCGCCGTCTTCTCACCTGACAAACTACTCTGCTCAACCCGCCCGTTTTCCGAGCTGGCCTTGCGCTCCGGCTGCAAGCCGCCCTGTCCAGCCACGCTCTGTCGCTCCCTGAACGTCTTGGTCGGCTTCCACGATGTGCTCTTGCGTGCAGAGCTGCATTCCACATACAGCTCGTCAATCTCCTCGAGCGAGAGGCCCTTGGTCTCGTAGATGAAGAAGTAGACAAATGCAATACACAAAAAGCAGGCGGCAAACCACACAAAGAAGATCTTGCTCTGCAGGTTGGCATAACCGTCGCCGTAGTTGACCAGGTACGGGGTAGCGTAAGCGATCGCCCAGTTGAGAAGCCACTGTGAGGACACAAGTTGTTAGAAGATTGTTTGAAACAGGGGTATTTTAAAGGCGGAGCTTACGTTCGTAGCTGTCGTCATTGACAGTCCACGGGCACGGTTCTTGAGAGGGAAAATCTCGCCAGTCACGACCCACGCCAGGGGTCCCCACGTCGAAGCGAAGAAGAAGATATAAATGCAGACAAAGGCAATTCCGGCTTTCTGCGCGGAGACGTTGAATACAAGGATGGTTCCATCAGCGGCTTGGCCGGTGGTGAGCGTCCCGAGCATGGCTACGAGGAACTGGCTGATACACATGCCGACAGCACCCCAAAGGAGCAAAGGTCTGCGGCCCCACTTATCAATGGCATACAGACCTGGGATCGTTGATACAACATTGATAGAGGACGTGATCATGGTGATGGTGAAAGCGTTGGTGATGCCCGAGTTCTTGAAGTACTGTGTGCCGTAGTAGAAGATAAAGTTGATACCTACATTGCAATGTCAGATAAATGATCGATGGTTGGAGTTAGGAGAAAACGCACCAGTCAACTGCTGCAGAGCTTGAATCCCCATTCCAGTCAGAGTCCTCTTGCGCATTCCTTTCCTGAAGCAATCTCGATAACTGGCCTTGCCAATGGCCGTCTCAAAATCATGACTCGCTTGTACTTCGCCGAGCTCATCTTGGACTGCGGGGTGCTGAGGTGGTAGCTTCCGAAGCCGTCCGAGCGACTTGGCGGCCTTTTCCGGACGACCGCGTTTGATCAGGTAGCGAGGCGTCTCGGGCAGGACGAGCATGCCGACAATAAGGACGATAGCCCATGCAAACTGTACTGCAATGGGAATGCGGTAAGAGCCCGTGTCTTGGCGGTCGTGTGTGGAATTGTCCACCACGGCAGCAAGCAGCAAGCCAATCGTGATCGCGAACTGGTATGCTCCAACGATTGCACCGCGAATCCATTTCGGAGCGGTCTCGGATTGGTAGAGGGGGACTATCAAATGTTAGAACAACACCCATCGACGAGGAGAAATTGACCACAGATTCAACACCTTCGGGCAACTTACTGAGCGCCGAAATCAAGCCAACGCCGAACCCAGCAAAGAACCGGCCGGCTAGGAAAAGTGGAAGTGAGGTTGAGGCGGTCTGGAAGATCACGCCGAGAATGAAAACCCAAGAGGAAGCGACGAGCGCTAAGCGGCGTCCAATGTGGTCACCCAATAGTGGCGACGCAAGAGCGCCGAAGAAAGTGCCGGCAGAAAGAATCGAGACAATGGCCGAGGACTGGGAGGGCGACACATCCTTATGGCCATGGGGGTTAACATATCCTGTTGAGAATAGATTCATCCAATAGTCCATAGCCAAGATGCCGCTGATAGTCCCCGTGTCATAGCCAAAGAGAACACCCCCAAAGGCGACGAAGGCGCCAATGAAGATGGCCGGCCATGACGAACCTGGATCGTCTGGAGGTTTGGGGATCGAAAGCTTCCGGGGTCCCACCATGGTGATGGTGTTGATGGTGATAAGAAGAAGAAGAGTGAGCCTATCTGCCCCGATGTGGATCTGCTCCTGGTGAAGTCGCTTTTTGAATGGCAACGGTCGAGTAACAGAGCACGATGACAGAAGGGAAATTGGAGCTGGGGATTCGATGGAAAATAAAGAATCAGGAGTTCTTTATGAATGAGGGGGTCGTTCCTCAGTGAACTGAGCCGAACAGGACAGGGATAAGGAGTGAGAGAGTCGCCGGATGTGTCTACTGTCTAGTTGGGGTTCGGTGTGAGACTGCGTGACCTGAGAGGGACTTGCCCATGTGTTGGTCCGCCATGATGTGAGTAGAGTCGCAGTGAGGGAATCCCCGAACGACCAGCAGATTGAGAAGTACTCATGCTGAACCAGACCCTTCAACCCACAGCTCCTGTATGCGGCAGAGCGCGAATCAAAGGGGACTGCTCAAACGGCGGAGAGACTGCACCAATGAGACCGTGAAAGCTCCACCCTTTTAGCAATGGTGCTATCCATGGAAATCGGAGTATCGCCGAGATGGGTGGGCGGGATATCCGATCATGGCGGGGAAGAAGGGGGCAGGTGAGAGTTTGAGAGGCCAGAAGCTGCAGCAGGTCTGGAGAATCTCTTGGCAGGACGGTAGTGATGACGATGCGTCCCTTTCTGGAGACGCATTGCATTGTCGGCGCAGCCAATCCGAGAGGAGCTGACCCTTGGAAGCCTGCGTATCATCGTACTCTCTTCTAAATTCCGACGTCATCCGAGCTTCCGGGAATAGGATGGAGACATGGAAACAATAGCAACCAAATGCAGGGCTCTGAAGAGGATAGAAGACAATTGCCGTTCGGTTTATTAAGCAATGCTACCAAGCACCCGGACCATGGTAGCGGACATGGAGGAAAGTAGAAATATACCGAGAACCCGGGCCGAATGGTTTGCCCGTACGTACGAATACGCAGTGTCGTACGAGCGGGTCAAGAAGCAACCTGAACGATGAAGGGCGGTGAGAGCGAGCTCCGGCAAGCTCTGTTGCTCTTGCTGACAGAGAAAGATTGAAGCTGGTCTCGTGCAGGGTTTCCCGATGCCGATGAGGTCTGCGGCGTCGGTAGTTCAGCGCCATTGGCCGTCGCCGCCATCCACGGCATGACGCTAGCGCTAAGCTTATTTGACTTTCAGACTTGCATTTGTTGTTTCCCCAGATTCAGGTGACGACGTGGCTGCCTACCTCCTGCAGACTGGGCAGGGGCGGCGCGGCAGTCTTTCTCACAAGGTCCCGGCTCACTGATTATAAAACCTTACTACTCGTACAAAGCCAGCCCCACAATAACTTGCTGTCAGGTGTATATGGTAATGGACTGCTCGTAGAGTCATCAGCATTCACGATTCGAGCTCATAGTTTGGTATTTTGCTTTCTAGGTTGGTAATCGGTATACTAAACCTAGTGGTCATGATGCTACTGGTCCACGGCCAGAAAAGGCAGCCCCAGAAAGCCACTCCAACGGTGACAGAATGATCCTACTCCCGGTGTAAGGGAAGGTTGGGATTTTTTGAAGTTTTACTGAACGATTGAATACACTCAGTGGCCCATGGAAGAACAGGAGTGGTCATCACTCATGGCGGAGCTCTTTCCGTGCCTCCATCCTGCCTACATACGTTGTACCCCGCACAAGGGGATGCACCTTCCGCTCATCTATCAAAACGCTGAACATCATACGATCTTGCGTCAAGTGCCCAGTGTACACACCTGCCACAATGGAATATGCGGCCAACTTGGGGAAGGAGTGTAGGAGGTTGAGCGTGTTAGAATTGTGCGGCTCGCTTGCTCCATCCAATGAAATTTCCCAACTCCGAACCGCATACTGTATGTTCTTTGTTCCAGAACACGATTATAAATGAAGCGACAAAGAGATAGTCAAACCATTACTTGAGCTTTATGGTCTCTTGGAAATCAGCGGGGAATCGTACCCGGTCACACGCACACCAGGGATTATTAAGTGGCTGACATCGAAGTTTGATGACCCAAAAGACCAACATGATTCGATGCGCTTTGGCCGCAAAAGCTGTCAAGAACTGTCAGGAACTGTCAGGAAATTGTCAGGAAGTGCCAGAAAGCTGTCAGGTATTGGCAACTAGAGCCCGGCTCGCCCAGACAGTCAATAATACACAAGTACCTGATGATCTGCAGAACCCAGCTCATTGGTAGAGGGTTCTGACCGTTCCAAACACCTACCTTAGTTAGAGTACCTAGGTATCTATGACACGCTGTTCCGTTTCTTTTACCAATGGAAATTCCTAATACTGCTCAGCCTCCCCACCATTCCAGTTGCAAACCTTGGGCTACTCTTAGCTGCTCTCTGTGGACCTGTGACGGCGCATGTGATGTGTAGCCTCTGGTTATGATGCCCAGATAAAAGAATATGGTAAAGGCA